TCTTCCCTTTTTTTCCCTCTTTTTTTCCTTCTTCCCTTTTTTTCCTTCTTTTTTTCCTTCTTCCTTTCTTTCTTTCTCTTTCTTTCTTTCTTTCTCTCTTTCTTTCTTTCTTTCTTTCTTTCTTTCTTTCTTTCTTTCTTTCTTTCTTTATTTATTTATTTATTTCTTTCTGTGTCTTTGTTTGTCTGTCTGTCTGTATGTCTGTCTGTGTGTCTGCCTGTCTGGTTTGTAAGTGGATGAACCAGAATCAAAGTCTGTGTGCGTGTGTGTGTGTGTGTGTGTGTGTGTGTGTGTGTGTGTGTCTATCTGTCCGTCTGTCTGTCTGTCTGTCTGTCTGTCAGTGTCTCCTAATCTGTCCGTCTGTCTCCTAATTTGTCTGTCTGTCCGTCTGTTTGTTTGCTTGTCTGTCTTTCTGTCTGACCTGTAAGTGGATGAACCAGAATGAAAGGTTGTCTGATGGTCCAACATGTCTGTGTGTGTGTGTGTGTGTGTGTGTGTGTGTGTGTGTGTGTGTGTGTGTCTGTCCGTCTGTTTGTCCGTCTATCTGTCTGTCTCCTAATCTGTCTGTCTATCTGTCTATCTGTCTGTCTGTCTGTCTCTTTCTTTCTTTGTTTCTCTCTTTCTTTCTTTCTTTCTTTGTCTAACATGTTTCTTTCTTTTTTTCTTTCCTTCTTTCTTTCCTTCTTTCTTTCCTTCTTTCTTTCCTTCTTTCTTTTTTGCTCTTTCTTTCTTTCTTTCTTTCTTTCTTTCTTTCTTTCTTTCTTTCTTTCTTTCTATGTCTTTGTTTGTCTGTCCGTTTGTATGTCTGTCTGTGTGTCTGTCTGTCTGGTCTGTAAGTGGATGAACCAAAATCAAAGTCTGTCTCTTCGTCTGTGTGTGTGTGTGTGTGTGTGTGTGTGTGTGTGTGTGTGTGTGTGTGTGTGTGTGTGTGTCTGTCCGTCTGTCTGTCTGTCTGTCAGTGTCTCCTAATCTGTCAGTCTGTCTCCTAATCTGTCTGTCTGTCTGTCTGTCTGTCTGTCTGTCTGGTCTGTAAGTGGATGAACCAAAATCAAAGTCTGTCCGTCCGTCTGTTTGTGTGTGTGTGTATGTGTGTGTGTSTGTCTGTCTGTCCGTCTGTCTGTCTGTCTGTCTGTCAGTGTATCCTAATCTGTCTGTCTGTCTCCTAGTTTGTCTGTCTGTCTGTCTGTCTAATTGTCTGTCTGTCTGTCTGGTCTGCAAGTGGATGAACCAGAATCAAAGTTTGTCTGTCCTTCTGTGTGTGTGTGTGTGTATGTGTGTGTGTGTCATATGTGTGTGTCCGTCTGTTTGTCTGTGTGTGTGTGTGTGTGTGTGTGTGTGTGTGTGTGTGTGTGTGTGTGTGTGTCCGTCTGTCTGTCTGTTTGTCCGTCTGTCTGTGTGTCTATCTGTCTGTCTGTCTGTTCGTCTGTGTGTGTGTGTGTGTATGTGTGTGTGTGTGTGTGTGTGTGTTCGTCTGT